CCTAAGTAGATTTGATAGACTCGGTACATTTGCAACCAAGATGGCCGCCTGTAACGGTATGTACGCGATCTTCTTGGACTCTAACATTCTAAAGACGTACAAAAGTGATTTAACTTTTCCGGTATTCAGTTCCCCTCCCTTTTGAAATAGAAATTCAGTAGAACCCTTTACAAGCGTTTTCCAGGCGTCTTCTGTCAAGTGCCCCGTGATTTGAATGGTGGTACAATCAACCGCAAACCCAGCGCGTTGTAAAACACATTATGACTCGATGTATCCTGAGTATTCTGTTTTAGGACAGGGCATCCGCAAAGCAAGAGAAACTCCATTCAAAGGCTTCTTTTGGTAGAAGTGGATCAGTTCTTTGAGTGTTTTAAATGCTGGTCCTTTGCCGAGGCTAAAGAACGTCTGAGTGCCATCACAAATGTCCTGCAACCAAGTAAAAACAAATGATGACGCTCAGTTTCTCCAAGAGACCCTTGGTTCGTCCTAGCTATCCTTGGATTAAGCTTCTATTTAAAATAAACCTGGGTTTCAGAGGAGCCCAGGTTTACAGACTGGTTCTTCGGGAGCGGCTGTCTCATTTCGCTTCTCTCCTCCCCCCTCTCCCCGTGGTTCTCAGGCTTTTGGGGGCTTTCTTTTTGTGCAAATAACCGGGTAAAGTGACTCCCCCCCCCCCTCCAAGCACATCTCCTTCTAGATAAAATTTACCTGGATTAGCTGACAGTGATAGACTCTTTTGTTCATACAGAAGGTCAGAACAAAGACTCCAGCAACGGTGGTACTCTCACGAACCAGGAACAGGCTAGTTAAAGAAATAAAAAAAAGAAGAAATTATTAAAAGGTAACTTTGACATGTACCGTAAGGGACACACCATAAGAAACGTTATTGGGGTTGGGGGGCGAAGTTCTTCGTGCAAGGGGAAATTCAATGAAAAAATCGTACACGCGGAGTAGTCCTAAAAAATATCCTGCACTGGCAAAAAAAAACCGCCATAACTTTTTTGATGGCCCGTCCCTGTAGTTTAATGTATGACCCCGCTGTTTATCGCATATTCAAACAGCATTTTCAAAATACGAAGCTCAAACTCTAATCCGTTCGTTGGCATGACTGCCCCGGATTAAAATTCATTCATTTCGTTTTCTCACAAGTAATACTGAAATCAAATAGCACCGGGCATATGCAGCCTTGAAGAAGTATTGTTTGAATGGTCGCAGCACAGGATTTCATACACAGACTAGAAAGTTAGAACCGCATTCTTCTTCACGACTCCACGCAAGGGAGCACGCTACCGGTACATAGACAACTAAGAGCTTGTGGCTGTCAATACAGCAACTGTGAGCGAGAGTGAAGGTAACGCTAGTGTTGTTACTCAGTTGCATCACATCTCCGCGCAAACTTAAATGGGCTACGTCACGAGGATTTTGCTGGTTGTGATTAATTCCGTGCTGAAGTCATTACTTTGTGCCTGTACACAAAATGCCCCTGAAGAGTAAGGGTCCCCTTATCCCCAATAGGGTTCTTCAATCCCGTAATCCCGAGGGTTATCATTGGCATCCCACCTCCCAAGCATACTTTCAATCCCGAATATCGCCCCGATGCAGCTTTAAAATCCCGAATCCCGAGCTTCAAATAAGGGAAATCCCGGGTCCCGAAAAACCTATTTGGGACCCTCTAGAGTTAT